TGAAACTCTTCCTTGCCTGATGGTAGTAGCAGAATTGGTGCCGCGACTAACCTCGTCTTTAACTCCTGGAAGGCTGCTTCTCTATCCTTAGTCCCTTCGTAAGCCACTCCCTTCTTAGTCAGTTGTGTCAACGGAATTGCAATCCTTGAGAAATCCTTTACGAACTTTCTGTAATAACCAACCAATCCCAGAAAGCTACGAACCTCGGACATATTGGTCGGCCTCGGCCAATTCACAACGGCTTCAATTTTACTAGGATCGACCGAAATACCATCTTCATCAATTACATGACCCAAAAATGAAATAGTAGAAAGCCAAAACTCACACTTGCTAAACTTAGCATACAAATTTCGATCCCTCAATGTCTGTAAGGTAAATCTCAAATGATCCTCGTGTTCAGTTTTACTCTTAGAGTAGATCAATATATCATCGATGAAGACAACCACAAACTCATCTAGATATGGCTTAAAGACTCTGTTCATCAAATCCATAAATGCTACAGGGGCATTGGTCACTCCAAAAGGCATTACTAAAAACTCGTAGTGGCCATACCTCGTCCGAAAAGTGGTCTTCTCAACATCCTCGGCTTTGACTTTAAGCTGATGGTAGCCCGACCTAAGGTCAATTTTGGAAAAGACTCGTGCTCCTTGCAACTGGTCAAACAAATCGTGTATCCTCGGCAAGGGGTACTTATTCTTGATGGTTACCTTATTCAGTTCTCGGTAATCAATACAAAGACGAAGTGTACCATCCTTCTTCTTAACAAACAAGACGGGTGCTCCCCAGGGTGAAGTGCTCGGCCTAATAAAACCCTTATCCAGCAACTCTTGCAGTTGAAGTTTCAATTCCTTAAGCTCGGCGGGGGCCATCCTATAGGGTGTTTTAGAGATGGGCTGGGTTCTCGACACGATGTCAACAGTAAACTCTACCTCTCTATCAACTAAGTGACCAGGCAAATCATTTGGAAAGACGTCGGGGAATTCATTAACAACTGGAACGTCGGCTAACTCAACACTTCCATTCAAATTACTTAGTATGCTACACAAATAACCTTGACACCCTTTTTGGATCAACGTATAGTCTTTCATGGATGAAATTAAGTAAGGTGGAGATACTACTCCTTTACCCTGAAACGTGACCTCGGCTAGGTTTGGGGGTTTTAACGTGACACTCTTAGAAACACAATTTATGGATGCGTGATTTGCCACTAGCCAATCCATCCCCAATATAACATCAAAATGACTTATGTCCAATGGCATTAAATCAGCTAACAATTCAACATTCTCAATCACGACAATACATGCTCGATAGATGGATGCAACATTCATAGATCTCCCAGATGGAGTAGATACAGATAACACATAATCAAGGGGTTCTAGTTTCCTATTAATCTTCTAGGCAAACTTAGTAGAAATGAATGAATGCGTAGAACCCGAATCAATCAACACATATGCATTTTGAGAGCAAATTGGGAGTATACCTGACACCACTGTCTTAGCATTCTGAGTGTCTCCTGGTACCAGTGAAAAAACTCTGCCTTGCCTCATCGGTCCTTTCCCAACGTTACCCTTCTGTACGGTACCCGAGGTATTCTCATCTCTCTTACCTTCATCAGCCCTTGTCTTTAGACAGTCCCTCACAAAATGACCACTACTAGAAATAGGACTTTTTGCTTCTATTTTTTTGCGACTGATTATTTAACGGTCGCAAAAAATCATTTTTAGACATCAAACATCTCATTTGCCTGACCCAATCGTGTTCTTACAAAAATAAAAATAAATAAAACATCTCATTTTCCTGACTCTCTCTCTCCCTCTCAATCCCCCCCCTTTTTTTTTCTTATTTCCCAAATCTGGGCTCTCTCTTTCTCTCCCTCTCAAAATCTATCTCTCGCTCGACTCTCGCTCAAATCTCACTGCCTCTCTCGCTCGAATCTCTCGCTCGAATCTGTCAATCGATTCAACTTTCTCAAGTCCACTACTGTTGAAGATTTCATAATCGGTAAGCCTAAACACATCTTCATCGATTCAACTTTCTCTGTAATGATCCGAGAAATCATGTGTGCTCTGAATTGCTCTCTCTCTCTCTCTCTTGTCTCAGTTTCTCTGTGAGATCAGAGAAATCTCTTCGTTAACTTGTTGCTTATCCACTAATCTCACTGCAATCTTCTCGATCGATCAGGTTGTTGTACAGAAAGTGAAGGAATCGGAGATAACCGAGCAGGACTCGCTTCTATTGGTACTGTTCAACTTTTGATTTTCATTTACAGATGATCATAGTAACATATAAATTTCACTATCTACTTATCTTCATTTTTGTGGATCGAATTTTGAAATTATAATTTGAACTTACGGTTTTCTCATATTCAGAATTAGATCATTGCTTTGAATAAGTCATAGTATGCTGAATCTGGATGCTGTTTTGTTCAGTAATTTATCAGTGAATTTTACTGTAACTCAAATCCGAATTATGATCCAGAGAGTTTGAATCTGAAATGATTTTTTTCTACATTTAGAATTAATTTCGCTAGTGTTGCAACCTAGATTTGAATTTCATTGTCTGCTTGTATTCATTGTTTGTGGATCAAATTCTGGAATTCTAATTTGAATTTATGAAATCAATTTTATGGTTTTGTTTGGTGCAACTTATTTGAGGCTGCTTGTGATTTTTTCTCTTCAAAATCTGTCGGTATTTGTTGCAACTTATGCATACTGTAATGAGATGAAAATAGCTGTAAAAGTTTATTATGGGGAAATTGGGATGGGTGTTTTAACTTTTGTGTTTTGATTATTAACTTTTGGATTATAAAAAGTTACACCAAATGAGGCCATCATTATTGTTATAATCGTCTTTATCATCTAAATGTTGAATTTGTTATCATCCTATTTTTTTCATTCACAAGCCCTGTTCTAGAAATAATCATGTGCACTAGGTCCTATTTTTTTCATACACAGGCCCCGTTCTAGAAAGAATCATAACTCCGGTTTTTTTATTATTTATTTTTATTGAGTTGGAAATGAAGAACATATTTGAATTTGTTGATCTCAATCTTTCATTGGGCAGATACTGATATTATTGCAGCAGTGAATCTCAGTTCTAAAAAATAACACATTTTTAAGATTTCAAAATTTTCTTTGACCAACATCATTTTCTACAGCCTGTCCTGGTAGCGAAACTCATGACCATTTCCTTTATCTAGGGTGATCCCAATGATTGTAATGATCGAAAGTAAACTTCTATATCTAAAAAAGGTATCTTAAAAAGTACATGGATCATAGTTATTTTAAGTGATTCATTTTTGGATACTTTTGTGATAAATATATTGAACTTTTCCATATAATGATTCTAGCATTCCTTTGTCCCAAAGAGGTGCCACAATAATCAACTAGTCTGGGCCCTTGAGTTGAAGGGCCATCTGCTGTCTCTCTCTCTCACACACACACACATACACATACACACTAGGCATGCTTAATTTGGGCCCGACAAGCTATTTTAGTAATTTTTTAACTTTTTGGCTAATATATGAGATAAAAAAAATTAATATATTTGAAATAACTTTTTGGGTTTTTTTTTTTATAAAAAAGATGTGTAAAAAATAAAGAGAAAATGAAATATTTGACTTTTTGGTATAAGTTATAATTTTTTTGATTTTTTTAGTAATTTTTTGACTTTGAGCCTAAAATAATCACTTGTCAAACGAGGCCTTAATCAAGCATAAGACACCAAAATACCACGATATCTTAAAAGAGGGATTATTTTATGATCACATAAAACTTTCACAAAATGGGACATAGAATCTCATATTGTGTCCCATTATGTGAAAATCATATGTGCACTTATTCATTGTATCCAGACTGATGGTCTTGTTATGTATTAAAACAAGCCACTGATTATAATGCTCTGTCACGGATCTCTTATTATGGTCTTGTTATGTATTAAAACAAGCTACTGATTTCCTGTTTTATCACCATATGTTGTTTTATCATCTGGATGATGCCCATGTATTATGACCCTCAGGGGAGGCACGCGTGATAAGGGAGTAAAAGTTATTGGTGTTCCTGCGAAATGATAGCACGAGTTTTTGCACATGAAGTTGGCAAATAACTTAAGCTTGTTTAAGCAGAATTTGTATCTCTGAACTAGACAAATCATTGTGGCTTTGACATCAAAATGTGTGTGGGTGTTAAACATAGGTTTAAGGGGAGCTAACTTAACGTAATCCTGAACGGCAATTTGATAACATGTGGGGTGACTGAATGAACAATTAGGCAATTTGATATACCATCAGGCAAACATATGCTCTGAGAGTGAGACGTTGAATTTTACTTTTGCACAAAACGTTTCTCATTTACCTTCTTCTGAATGCAATTGACCAGTATGATACTACACAGGCAGATAGGAAGTAGAACAGTCAGGCTTGAGCTCACTAACCTTCAATAGTTGCATCTCTACTATAATTTGGCACTTCATGATGTTGTTGTTCCTCAACAGATTCTATATGCTGCAAGAACACCACTAACTTAAAATTTTACTCCCAAGATTTTGTTTGTTGCTTAAAATTAACTTACACCAATATTCATGCAATTTCTTTTTATGTTTATACCTGGACTTTTTTTGCATATATTTATTTAATCTAGATGACAAGGCTAAAAATGGGGTTCATATATTTGTTTATACCTGTGCTCATTCTTTTTATTGATGTGTACAAAAATAGTTAAAGAAATAAAAAGATGAACAAGAATTGGATTGATTTGCCAAATCGGATGTCAGTTGATTACGTGAATGGGATTGATAACTTCTTGAGATTTGCATACAATAATAGAGATGAAAGTTCATCGATTAGTTGTCCGTGTCGATTTTGTAGTAATTGATACAATTTTTCACGAGAGGTTGTAAGGGAGCATCTTATTTCCAATGGGTTCGTAAAAAAGTACAAAAATTGGATTCATCATGGGGAATCCTATGTCCAATTACATGGTAACCAAGAAAACCAAACATTAATGGCGGATTCAGTGACTAGAGATGATGCGGTTGGGATGGTACAAGAGGCCCTAGGAATTCCACATATGGGTATTGAGAATGATGAACCAATTGCAAGTGATCCAGCCCAAGTAGGGGCAAGTGATCCAAGCCATGTAGAGGAAGATGACCCGGTTCGGATAGGGGCAAATGATGAAACTTTGAAATATTTTAAACTTTTGGAAGATGCACAAACTGATCTGTACCTGGGGTGTCACAAATTTACTTCACTATCATTCATTGTTCGAATTTTGCATATGAAGGTGCTCAATCAATGGACCGACAAGTCCGTTGACATGTTACTTGAACTTTTGAATGAGGCTTTTCCGACGGGCACAAAACTTCCAAGTTCATATTATCAAGCTCAGAAGGTTACTACAGATTTGGGTTTCACATATGAGACTTTTGATGCTTGCCCCAATAGTTGTATGTTGTTCTGAAAAGAGGATACAAAGCTTGATAAATGCGTTATATACAGTAGTTCTAGATGGAAACAAAATAGTAGTGTTGGAAATGATGAAAGGGAATCTGGTAAACGGGTAGCAGCAAAACAGATGAGGTATTTCCCTTTGAAGCCAAGGTTGCAGAGATTGTTTATGTCATCGAAAACGGCAAAGCTCATGGGATGGCATGCGGAAGAACGGGTTGATGATGGTGTGTTAAGGCATCCTGCTGACTCCCTCGCATGGAAGGACTTTGATCGGCGAAACACTTGTTTTGCTAGTAATAGTCGTAATGTACGTATTGGGTTAGCTACAGATGGATTCAACCCATTTAGATCAATGAACATAGTTCATAGCACTTGGCCAATTGTGTTGATTCCGTATAATTTACCACCATGGATGTGCATGAAGCAACCAAATCTGATTTTGTCTGTGCTGATTGATGGGCCAAAAGGACCTGGCGATAAGATCGATGTGTATTTGCAACCATTGATTGAGGAGTTGAAGGAATTATGGGATGAAGGTGAACAAACATTTGATGCATCAACCAATGAAATGTTTCAATTGCATGCAGCTTTGTTATGGACAATCAGTGACTTTCCTGCCTATGCCAACTTATCAGGATGGAGTACGAAAGGTGAATATGCTTGTCCTTGCTGCAATGTGAAAACTCAATCATATTGGTTGAAGCATGGTAGGAAGTATTCATACATGAGTCATCGTCGTTTCTTACCAGTTAATCATAAATTTCGAAAAGATAAAGTATCATTTGATGGTAGTCGAGAATGGAGACTAAAACCTCAAATTTTATTTGGATTTGAGATGTTGCATCAGTTGGAATCAGAAGGTGTCCTTAGTTAGTACAAGAGGAATGACCTTAAGGAAATGTTCAGGAGACAAGAAGACAGGGAAAATAACGGAAGAAAAAGCCATAATTAGAAGAAAAAAAAGTATATTCTATGAATTGCTGTATTGGGAGCACAACTTAAGAAGACACAATCTCGATGTGATGCACATAGAGAAAAATGTCTACGATAATATATTGTGGACAATACTAGGAGTTAGAGGAAAATCCAAAGATAATGTGAATGCTCGACGTGATTTGCAAGAAATGAATATCAGAAAACCATTGCACTTGCAGTCAAGAGGGTTCAATAAAGTTTATGTACCTCCTGCATAATTCACAATGATCAATGATGAGAAAGAGATGTTTCTCAAAGTACTCAAGGAAGTAAGAGTACCAGACGGTTATGCATCCAATATCTCGCGACATGTGCGCTTACAAGATAGAAGTATTTGGGGTCTTAAGAGCCATGATAGTCATATTTTGATGCAACAACTTATTCCTTTAGCTATACGGAGGTCCTTGCCTAAGAATGTGATTGAACCATTGATTGAATTGAGCACTTTTTTTAGACAATTGTGCTCCAAAGTGAATCGTACAAGTGATTTGGAATATGCTTAGGATCGTATCGCAATAACTCTTTGTCATCTTGAAATTTTTTTTCCACCATCTTTCTTTGACATAATGGAACACTTGCCTATACATCTTGTTGATGATGCTTTGATCGCTGGAGCAATACAGTTTCGATGGATGTACCCGATTGAAAGGTTTCTTCTTACATTGAAACAATATGTGCGTAATCGAGCTCATCCGAGGGCTCAATAGCTAAGGGGTATTTGATGGAAGAATGCATGAACTTTTGTTCTCGCTATCTCCTTGATGTGGAAACCAAATCTAATCGACCGAGGAGAAACAACGAAGGTGATAACAATATGGGTCAAGCTGTAGGCGAAAGTACAACATTTTATCTTAATGATAATGAATTACAACAGTGTCACCGATATGTGTTGTTCAACACAAGTTCAGTTACACCGTTCATAAGGTATTTTATCACTTCCCCAGTATTGTAAAATTCTAAAGTGAAATCTATATGATATTTACTATTCTCTTTCAATTTACACAGCAAACACCTTGAAGTCATCAAGAGCAAAATGCCACGTGCAAGCGATCATCAAATTCAATCTGAGCATTTCGAAACATTCTACACTTGGTTTAAGGACCATGTATGTATTTAGACATTTCATTTCACATATCTAAATATACATAAATTTTGAGTTGGAGTTGAAGTTGAATTTATATTTGTTTTTTTAATAGGTTCAGACCTTGCGAAGGACAAGTAATATTACATTTACTGAAGAAATCAATAGATTAGCAGATGGTCCTCATACCTTGGCTAGGCGGTTCAATGGTTACATTATCAATGGGTTTCGTTTTCGTGTGAAGGCTGTGGATGATCGTCGGGTGACTCAAAATAATGGTGTAGCTTTGAAGGCTGATACAATGAGTTATGCTAGTCGGAAGGACAAGAGTCCTCGCGTTGGTGCTGTGTACTACTATGGACAGTTGACTGATATTGTCGAAATCCGGTACACTAACAATATGAAATATGTGCTATTTAAGTGTGATTGGGTTGATAACACTAGGGGAAAATGGAAGACGCTTTCAAATTCACATTAGTCAACTTCAATCGTTTGTTGTACCCAACCGATCGTGTTAGCAATGAACCTTTTATATTATCATCCCAAGCCGAGCAAGTTTTGTATGTTCCTGATCCCTTGGAACCAGATTGGCAAGTTGTGGTAAAGATGTCTCAAAGAGGTCTTTTTGATATGAATTCTAATGATGACCCTCAAGTTGGACCCTATATGACTCAACATTTGGAAGACAACGCTATGCTTCATGATGAAGAAATTGGTTGGGTGAGAGAAGGAATAGAAGGAGCAACAATTGATGCTAATGAAGAGTGTTGAACTTCATTTGTGATTGTAGATGAAAAGTTTAAATATTGTTAAAATGTCTCAATTGTTAATTGTTGAATTTGTGAGAAATTTATATATGTTTATGTGTTGTTTTATTATCAAGTGTAGAGCTTCATAAAGATTTTCTTTCTTTTTATAATGAATGTTTACTTGCTGTGGTGGTTATTTTTTATTCAATTACAATGTCGGTTATGATAGTTACGAGCTTAGGAGACATCTGTAACAACCCTCACCTTACTCTTGCCATACTTGCATACATTCCTGCATGATCCTGCCTTGTTATTTTGTTTTTGGAGGTTTTGTCTTGTCTTGATTTGCTTAAAGTTGCTAGCATGATTTTGATTTTTTGCTTGGTGTGTGTGGCCGAGGTCCCCTTGAGCTTAGTTCGCCTTTGAACCCTTGTACTTAGAACTATTTTGAGACCTTGGTCGACCCCCATCTTCACCTCGGGCATTTATTACCGAGATGTTTTGCACTTAGCGAACCTTGTCCTTGGGCAGGTATGGCCTAGGCCGAGATGTGGCACACCCCGGCCAAGGTGTGGCACAGCTTAGTCAAGTGTCGTCCTCCCTAGCCGACGTTTTGTTATCCTGTTGCCGGATCCTTGATTTGAGTCGATGTCATTTCTTGCCGATGTGTCTTGCCGAGCTTGCTGCATACTCTTTGTCAGAGACTTGTCTTATCAATCAATCGCCTTTTTGAGCTGAACCAACCCGGTAGCGCCACGTGTCCGAGCTGGTTGTTAAGACAGCCGGCAGACCTTGAAACACATCATTTTCTTGTCTCAAATCTTTGCCTTTAGAGAGAGAAGCTCTAGAGAGAAGGAAGAGAAGTTCTTGAGTGAGAGTAAGTCTTCCAAGCTTGATCTTCGTTGTTTGATTCGTTGGATTCGAGTTCTAAGGTTAGAATCTTGATCTACTTTGATTGTTGTTATTGATCATCTAGCTGCATTGCATGATCGAATCTGTTTTACACGTCGTGCATTGTTTTGAAGTTGGTTTTGAAAAGAGAAAATGGTTTTCATATGTTCTTGAAAGAAAGTCTCATTTTGATCCGAAAGTTTGGAACGAAAATCATGTTTTGTGTTTGTTCTTGCATGACCATCTTGCATGGGTACCCAGGTCCATGTTTTGAACTCTTGGCATGAAACCTCAGATCTTTGTAACGAGTTTTGATCTTGCATTCATCTTCCTCATGATCATGTTCAATGTTCATCATATTCTTCATGTTATTCAAGGGAAACCCAGGTTTTCCGACTTTGCTTTTGGTTGAGGCCAACGGGACCACACCTCGGCAAGGAGGTGTGGGACCTCGGCAAAAACCTGGTTGGTACCCAGCGTGTTTTCGTGAGACGGGAGCAGTGTTTTGACTCCCAGCATTTTTGCTTTGATGGTTATTTGGATCTGTTAGAATACCGAGATCATTCGTATATGGGTTTAGCTCGTTTTGAGAATGTGATCTGCCATGTGTTTGTAGGACCTTGATCTTTGCTTTGAGTCTACACCTGAAGAACTAGGTGAGTGGTATTATTGATAAAGCTATGTTATACTTGTTTTGATAAATCTTGCTGCCTTGTTTTGACAAAAGTGTTTTGATAAGCATGAATGAATAGCTCTTGTTTTGACGTGACAAGTATAAACCTTGTTTTGATGACATCTTTGAAAAGGATACGGTCCTCTCTTGGAAAGTCCCCCGTGCTGGAGGACTCTAAACTTTCGCAGCACTAAGCATAAAAGGATACGGTCCTTGTTAAATCGGGCTACGGGCCTAAGTAACACAAGTCCCTTGTACTGAAGGACTCTAAACTTTCGCAGTACTAAGTGTAAAAGGATACGGTCCTTTCTTGAAAAGATTTCTATGTTAAATCGGGCTACGGGCCTAAGTAACACAAGTCCCTTTGCTGGAGGACTATAAACTTTCGCAGTACCTTTGCCAAACGATTACGGATCGTACAGCCCTTGATACTTGATTGATGAATACGGTTCATCCCTTGCTTCGCCGATGTTATGATACTTGATTGATGAATACGTGTTCATCCCTTGCTTCGCCGATGTTATGATACTTGATTGATGAATACGGTTCATCCCTTGCTTCGCCGATGTTATGATACTTGATTGATGAATACGGTTCATCCCTTGCTTCGCCGATGTTGTAATATTTGAATGATGAATACGGTTCATCCCTTGTTTTGCCGATGCCAGTGAGCAGTCTTTGATACTTGTAAGCTTTGAATGATGAATACGGTTCTCCCCTTGTTTTGCCGATGTCAGTAAGCATCCCTTGATACTCGAAATGTTCGACAGATGAATACGGTTCATCCTTGTTTGATAAAGTTTTTGGTGTGTTTTGTTTTGAAAGACTCCGGCTATATTCATGCAAACCTTTATTATTAGTACCTATCATGAGTATTTGTACTCACCCCTCTATATATATGTAGGTGCTGAGCAGGACGGCGGCGACGCCTAGACTGTTTTGAAAGCTTGTTTTGGATTCGTGCTTATGTCGGCTAGCTTTTGTATTTACGTCGGCGATGCCTTCATTTCAAGTCGGCAAATCTTGAAAATCATGCTTCTTGACTTGTATTTATTATATTTTGTGTATGTTGGCTCGTGAAGCCTTTTGATCAAGCTGTAACACATATTTTGCTTGTTGTATTCAGTTGTAAGATGTATGACATTCTTTTTAATCTATGCACAGCTCTTATGGACCGCTTGTATTTGATTTATTGCTTCCGCATTTGTGAGCCCCCTATATCCATACTCTGATTGGTTAAGTTTTTTGAAAGTTGGCCTTCGGTAATTAGGGATTACTGGCCATCACGGCACCAAACTACTAGGGGCGGTTTGGGGTCGTGACAACATCGTTGTGGACTTGCATAGGGATCTCTGTTCTTTGAAATGGCAATGCAATTGAGAGGGAAATCACCACCTTGCAATTGAAAGTATGTTAAAGAGTTTATACATAATGTTTAATGTTGCAAGTTTTAGTGTTTGATCTAATTATAAATTATTTGTTGATATAGGAAAAGAAGCTTGTTA